GAATCATGTCTGCCTGAAGATGCTACCTTTGGGCATTGTTTTCCTCCTCCTTACATATGTTCTCATGCGGCGATTTGCCGCAACAGCGAACTGAAAAGAGCTTTCAGCTCTATTTGGGTGCCGCAGTTGCTGCTCATTCAACAAGGCGGCATACTGCGTTCTCGCATGAGCGAGCACTTGGGTTGGGTTAATGTTGCCACGCATCTGGCTCTGGCATTTCCACAGAGCGTGAGGCACGCGCCCAGCCATGCATTCTGTTCCCGTACGCCCTTTGCGATGATGCAAATGTCTCTTGGCAGCATGGTGCGCAGCAAGGTAGCTGTGCTTCCGGACGGTCCTCGCTTTCCACGGTTGTGTGGCCATGAGACGCCATCGCAAGGTATCCAGACGACTCCAGCACCGGCTTCATGAACAATGCAACTATCAAAGTCCACCTCCTACCCCGAAGCTGACAAGCTCACCCCGATTGTGTGCCTTGGGATTGGAAGGCTCAGGTGTAGGGGTGGAATCTCTCACCTTCGATCTGACTGACCAAAGAGTTCTGGAACTGGAGAGACCAGATCCAATCCTGTACACCCACCTGCAACATGTTTCTCTACAACACCGGAACGAAACGAGTGAATGCCTTTTGAGCTTCCTGGGCTGAACCTACAGAAACCCTTGACCCCCCAAAATATAGTGGCCTTGATCGTTGGTTACAATAGGGTTTTGGGGCACATTATAATTTTAAGAATATTAAACATACTGCGGACCTTAAGGGAAGGTCATTACCAACAATTCCGACCCCTATATTCAGTCTGCCGATTGCATGTCTCATCCCGACAGCTTGCTGCCTCACAGCCCCGCAGAGTCAGAAACAGCGGCATGCTGGCACCAGAATGAAAAGACCGGGATTCAAAGCGATGCGCGGCTGATCAACGAGCTAGTCAACAGTAGGAACTAGAACCCGAATGGCGATATTGGCCTAAGTAAATACGAAATGCCAAAACCCCTTCATGCCAGCTGATAGTGCTCGTAGCGCTTCTTTGGAGCTTGGGGGGGGTGCAGGGGGTGGTTGGGCTTTGGGAAAACGCAACAAGTTTGCTCAATCTTGTTTGTTGGGCACCGTTATGGCTTTCAGCAACTCGGTTTGGAGGTCTGGTTTTGCTGATATTCCACTTGCATGTTGAATATGTGGGCCGCCATCGAACTGTCTGAGTGCGGAGTTGACATCAGGAGATTCGCTTGAACAAGTGCTTTGGGGTTGTGTTGGGGTGTAAGCCGTAAGCTCATGAAGGCATGTCTTGGGAAATTCTATCTTGAGTGCATTGCAGGTTTCTTGTAGAGTCGCAGGCCCAGTCAAACACGGCCGTCTCTGGTGCAGCCTGGCTCCCAGCTTCCTTTGAAGGGCCTGCACATCAAAATCGCCCTCATGGCGGCTCGTTGCAACACTGCGCTGCGACAAGGAGCAAAACCTTTGAAGAGGTCCTCAGTCGAGTTTAGCTGTCCCGGCAGAACGAAGTTGGAGCTGAGGTTCTCTTCCAGCCGCAGGAGTTGCTGAACCAAGTAGGAATGCTTGGAACCCTGAAATCCTGTAGAGATCAAAGAGCGCGCCTCGACTTGCGGAATTTCGCCGAAATGCAGAGGTGTCAGTTTTGTCTTTGTGCCGTCACTGGGTTTGGGAGGAGAGCAACACATGCTACACTGCCCAAAAGGCCGGTGCAAGTTCCGCAGGCTAAGGCATTCAAGTTCAAGCAGGCCAGTACCTGTGCCTGGCCCAAAAATTGCAGGAAAAACCCTTCAGGGTTGGTTTGTGTCACAAGTTGCCACAGCCGGGACTGCAAACACCTCAACCCCTAGCAGTTACGCTTGGATGCCAATTCGGACCCCTGGATATGAAGAAAGGCACACTTCCGGAACTCTTGCTTGCACGATCCAGTCAGCAAAGCGTGGCTCAAAGAGTTCTTGACTTGGCACCGGTTCGTCGACCATCTGCTATGAGATTGTTATAACCCTGCAATACACTACAACATACAGTGATACAGTATAGTGTACAGTGTACTATCATATACTGCAACCTACTATACTACAACAGGTTCTTGTATGACATAACATAGCATAAGTACAATGACGTATGGCTTCAGCTTCGGCGGTGCCTACACAGGATGAGCTGAGGTTTTCACGAGTTGTCACCTTGTCTACTTGGGTAATTGTCTAAATTATGGCCCCTTTTTGGGTACCCTGAATATAAGGTGCCGTGTTATAATAAGGACCCAATAAGGGACCAGAATTTTGACAACCACCCATTTTACTCTCGTAAAATACCAACGATCTGAGAACTTCCCTCACCACATTGGCCCGAACCTGGAACCAGAAATCATCTGAAATCCTAAACTTAGCGACACCCAAAGTGTAGAGGCTTACAGTATAGTACAAAACATTTCAGTAGTCTAGTATATTCTACTACGTTTTTTCTTGCGCTCCTTTGTTGCTAGACTGCACTTTGTGTTGAGGTGGTCGAAGCTACTGCCAGCTCTTAGCGGCGGGGTGCATGCCACAGCCAGCCGTGACCAGGCCTCGCATGAGGCGGGCTGGAACGGGACGGAGAAGCCGATGACCCGGACGTATATAGAGGGTACCATAAGTACAAAAGCTCGATAAGTTTCTTTTCAACAAGGGTCTTATTAGGATTATTTATACGCTGATTTAAGGCTTTGGGTAGGGATCAAGGTTGAAGTTTAGTGGCATCGTGCTTGAGATTCTGAAGTGAAGGGCAGCATGCGACTTTCGGCTTCTTCCTCGAAAGGACAGGCATCCCTAAACCGTAAGCCCAGAATGCTTGGGTTGATGGCTCAACTTAGGACTTGCAACCAAGGCACCGACCGTGTTTTCATGGTTTCGGGTTCACGAAACAAACCTACTGTGACCCTGCTGCGAGTAGGCTCCGTCTATTTGGGAGTTTCCGAAAATAGGGACCTTAATATGGGACCCTAAATAGTAGCATCCTTATTATAAGGACCCCATATTAAGGTAACCCTAATTTTCGGAAACTCCTATTTCCGGCAGGCTTCTGGACGATAGCGCTGGGCCGAGAGGACATCGGTCGAGCAGGCTTCCTGGTGGCGACGGCTAGTGAAAGGAACTATATTAACAAAGACATACTAATCATACTAATAAAACGATCGCCCGGTAGTAGGATGTAGTAGGAGCAATAGAAGTGGTAAGAGTAAGCCTTAGAGTAAGACAAAAAACAACAGTAGCAGTCTAGCAGAAGCAGGAGCAGTAGCAAGCGCAGCGGCAGTAGCAGCAGCAATAGCAGTAGTAGTCATAGTAAGAGTAGTAGTCGTAGTAGTCGTAGTCGTCGTCGTCGTAGTGGTAGTGGTAGTGCTAGTGCTGCTAGTGCGAGTGCTATTGGTAATAGTAGTCGTGGTGGTGGTGGCGGTGGTAGCAGCTGTAGTAGGAGTAGCTGGTGCTGGTAACTGCAACCGAAGTCGTAACAGTCATAACAGTGCTAATAAAATAGTAATGCAAATAAGAGTACTGCGATACTCTGAGACATACTGGCCAAACTGCAATCTCGATGATATGAAAAGGGTCACATTCGCGGGAATGTCAATATCGGCTACTGTGGGACGGTCTTTGCAGATGGCATGCTGTAAGTGGCAGGCGACATGTTGTGTCTGCTCTGTTCTGTGCCTCCCCTGCCTTTCTCTTTATGCCTGCATGTACGTCCTTTTTTCATGACTACAGCTCATTACAGGTACTGGCCCACTTTTGCTTTGAAAGAATGACAAAATGTGTGCAAGTGCACGACTCGAGAATACGACAGCATGAGACATAGTGAGTTTATTACACTCGCTAGGGCTGTCTGATTTTAGGCAATGTGTAGGATTTGCGCATCCACGATGTGAGCCAGTCGAAAGCATCGTACTACGAAGATCCGACTCCTCTTTACTTCCCACCGATATACTGGGCATTGACCTCGCCTCCCTGAAGGCTGCACCGTGCAGTGCTTCTCTCTATCTCTATCAGTTGCCGAGTAGCTGTTTCCTGAAGAACTCCTCAAAGTCAGCAAAGGAGACACGTCCTTTTGGGGTTGAAGACGCTTTTCTTGGCGCTTCTCATGTTCATTGTGGCCGAGACATGCTGAAGCATCGGCCAAACAGCAAACAACCTGAACTCTACTCAACAGCCCGAGCAGCAGAAAGAAACCTCGTGTGGCTTTAGCCAGAAAGCCCACGAACAGAACGGGCATTCCATTCCAACACGCCTGCACATCTGCGCGAGATATTTGACTCAGAAGCCGCAAGCTTTCCAGCCGGATGAACCGCAAACCCTGAAGATCTGCCAGGGTTCTGCTTCCATACGACATGGCATCAAACAGCTCCTCAAGAACAGAATGCCAGGCTTTCAAGCTTGCACCATCCTCGACTGGCCGCTGAGATAATCGCACATCCTCTTACTTCCGCTTCCGAGATGCAAATCTGAACTGCGCTGCTCTCTTGCTTGCGGCTCTGTATGGGGCTTATGGCTACCCTGAGTGTGGTGAACCTGGTTTGCGCAGAGCATGCTCGTGACAGTGGCCGTCCTGCACGGCAGTGAAGGCCCTCTCCGGGTCTTGGCAGTTGATTCCTGTGGATCAGGTTGCAGTGACCGTAGTAGCAGAAGGTCAACCGCTCATGACTTCGAGGAACTTGGAAAGTTGCCAAGCACATGACATGATTCTCGATGAACTCCATGCATGGGGTTTGCGCTCTTCGACTCTCCGACACCACTTGACAGCTTGCCTGGGAAAGCGAGACGTCTCAAGTCTACGTGCTTTTGGGTTTATGAGATTCCCGAAAGCTCTGAACAAGTCCCCTTCGAAGCTGTGCTGGGCGGGGTCTACTCCACTGTGTGATGAACACAGGAAAAGTGCAAAATTGGCACAGGCGAAACTTGCACGAACTTGCGTAAGCCAGCGCATGATTTCGAAAGCGAAGACGAGGTGCCAAGGTTGCATGGTGATGACACACAACAGCCTAAAACAAATCCATGCCAACCGCAAGCCGATGCATCCTTCTGCAAAGTCCGATTCGTACTGAGTCTTGCAAGGCTTTAGCACGGAGTGGAACCGAACAAGCAAAGCACGTTAGGACTCTCATCGCCAACCATGTGCCCCAAACTACCAACTGCCAGCCTGGGAAAAGCCTCCGCGCGACCAACGGGGAGGTCTCCACGGCATGGAGCATCGCCAGCTTTGAGATCTCCCCTGTGTGGCCTGCGCTTCAAGCATCAACGACACGCCCGAGTTGCGCAGAGTTTCAACATTGTATCATGGCCCGATAGTTCTGGCTAGGTCTTCCACTGCCTGGCGTCTACGGGGTCTACCGGAGAGCTAACTATTGACATGTCGATGACTGCTTGGGAAAGTGCTGTGCTTTTTGATGCTATCTCATGACCACAGCAAATCGAAGCACCATATTTGCCGTAAAGGGTTACACATATCAGCAGCAAAGAGCTCAGACTTATCAAAGCCATCATCGTCATCATCATCATCACCATCATATCTGCCATGAAGCTTAGAACGGTCACAATCGACCTGATCATCGTAGCTGCAGGCACCATCTTCACAGGCCCAGAAGACAAACCGGATGAAGACTTTGATGACATGAAATTACCCAGACTTGTCAGCTTCCTGCTTACCGCAGCAACCAGCAACTCACGTTTGAAAATCAAAGGGTTGTGGGCTGCTCAAACAAGAGCAACAAGTCGGAGTCAAACGCAGGCTGATACCATTGACACGCAGGGACGCCTGTGACCCTATTCAAAATGCGTTTGGCCCGTGCAGTCTGCCTGCATCGATCATATTGAAGACGTCCTGAAGGTCACGAGGGCCGTTGTCCTGACACGAGATTTGCGACTCTGAGGCTTGAAGTTTGAGGATTCTTTCAAAGTCAAAGGGGGACACATCTTCAGCATCCGGGCTCCCGAACCATGAAAGTCTCGACATCCGAAGCACCCGAAAGGCTCGGGCTTCGCCTGTTCCATACACTGCATATCCCCGTCCTTCGGTGCCTGTGCTTGCTGCCAGTACAGCGCGAAGGTGGCATAGGAGATCCCTTGCCAAAACGGGCAGTCTTTCGAAAGAGAGGAGAGGAAGGGTGGTGGGCGACGGGGCGAGAGTATTTGGCCGCAGAAACATATTCTTTTGCGTCTCAGGCGGCTGAGGGCTTGACAAATGTCAGCAATTTCACCGAATTCACTATGAAGCCTTCGTTTCAAAGGGCTTCGAGGAATCCTACGACCAAGCCGCCGCACTCGGCCACTATCTCGCACATCAAGTCTTTGCAAACCCCAACCGAAACCCGACGTCGACAAAACCTCTAAGCACCGAATCCTCCTCCCAGGCTTGAAACCCTTAACCCCTAAACCCGTTTGAATGCAGTCCGAGCTTCTTTCTTGTCCTCCCGATATTTTGTGGTAGAGGCGATCGACCTCGTCAAACCTTGGGTCCACGGGCTACGTCATACACACACATATATAAATATACGTATATATGGACAAATATTCTGTATGTATTAAGCATACTCTTTTGCAGATACAATCAGAAAATACACACATAACTATACATAGAGAATTCGCCATATCAAACACATCAAATGCATACATACCATACATTCATGAATGCATGCATATCTATATATACACACACATCTCTCTCTCTATGTATATATATATATATGTATACGTATGTCTGTGCAACTCTGTGTCTATTAACGTATTCGTCCAGTAATGGATGCCGGGGAGGTCCGCTTTGCAGGCCGTAGTGTTGAACCCTACACAGCACTGTTGAAATGGATACTGTGTAACTCCTAAGCTTTCGCACTCCTCCAGACGATGCAAAAGAACTCTTATAACCCTTATATGATGATAGTATAGTATAGTATAATATACCAAGAAGCCCTGCAACCTCTGATTCCCAAAGCAAGAGGTGGCGAGCCACGTGTCTGGGCATTTCATGACGATGCTGGGATCTCGACCTGGGGCGCAAAGAAAGGGGAAGGCCTCAGGTGCTTCGTTGAAGGTCTAAAATCCTTGATGTAATTTGAATAGGGTTTGGAGTAAATTTTGTAAGTTCCCCCCCCACCACAATAGTATTGGCAATTTGCAAGCTTATGGCTGCCAGTGACAGGCAAACTCCGGGACCACGCATTGCACATCCAAAGATTGTCAAAGCCAAAGACTCGAAGCTTCAAGTGAGCAATTTAAACAGACCGCTCCCAGTGTGACGGAGCTCTAGACCTGAAGTAACCTCCGCACTTTTGGCATTGCGCTTGCAAGGTTGCATGCAGACTCTGATTCCCCTGAGCGATTTTAACAGTTACTCGTGATCTCAGAGGTAGTTGAAGTAGGTTGCACCGAAGACTGATCAAGTTGTTGCAATGTTTGCGCTGATGACTGTGGCGCGGTGGCGAAGCAATCGCAGTGGTGCTGACGGTGATGCTAGTTCTTGCTCCAACTACAGCAGTGGCACAGCAACTGAGACACAGCCAAAAGAGTAGTTGTGACAATGAGTGTGCTTACTTTATTGCGCGCTTCGGCTTCCTGCTACAAAACCGGTCAAAACAACAAAGCCTATGCTCACACAGTGTGCATGCCAGCTTCAAGAAACCGCCCCTCTCTCTTTTCGCGTTCGCCGTCCTCATTTTTGGCTTCTCTTTCTCCCTTCTTCATGCTCAACCCCCAACCCTGCTAGGACTTAGGCAGTGTCGAGTCAATGTCGAGCTCTCCCTCTCGACACCCGGTTCCCACAATCCGTGTGACATATCCAAAACCAGCTTAGCCAAGGCAAAGAGGGAGCTGCACGACGCATCTCAGACGAAGTGAGTTCATGTTCATTATATGAGAGGAATGGAGTAAAACATATCGGGCACGCGATGCGAACTGTGCCAAGCATCCAAAGCTAGGAAGTCTACATGCCAGCCATTTCAAGGGGGCATTTTGTGAAGCATCCATCCGAAAAGGCAAACCATATCTAACACAAATCGATGAGTCCTGAGGAACGCGCTGTACAACGGTGCAGTCTTCTGGCTAAGGGCACCCGCACAACCAGCAACAAAAGAGGACTTGAATGCACTATCACATCCAAAACAAACGGGAAAGCTGATGCAAAGCATCCAAAGCTCTGCATTGCATCCGCCCTACGTTCAAACCAGAAACACGATTCCCGATGATTCCCGATGTCGTCTTGGTGAACTCGTTCCAAAGAAAAATCCAGTTCAACCTCGATTTTGGAACCGAACTCCTATCCCATGATGCGCGAAACGTCCGAGCTCTTTGGGCCAGGATGCCCGGCAGCAACGTCCGCGCAATCTCCTCGCTCTTCTGAACCTGAGCTGTGGGAGTCGCTCGTGTGCGCAAACACAAAATGCCTCTCTGAATATATATATATATATATGGTATGATATGATATGATATAACCTGTTATAATATAATATGGTATAATATAATATAATATAATATAGAGATAATACACCTAAACATATATATATATATATATATATAGAAGGTCGGAGCTGTCCAAAGCTTTCCCTGTTTTGAGTGGCTGTGTCGTTTCGGGCTCGGCGTTTGCAACCTCTCGAGGAGGGAGGGACCCTGCTCCAGTGAAGAAATGGCTGAACCTTCCATCGGAAAGCGAGCAGCAGCGCGGAAGAGCTCCCACTTGGAGATGCGGCCATCCTTGTCCTGTCGTATTCCAGGAAAAGTCCCGAATTCAGGCTATCGTCCAGGAAATACCGTGAGATCACAACTTCGCATCGGGATTTTCGGGTTTCCGGATGAACCGCGTACAACATCGAAGCCCTCAACCCCCACCCCAGTCGGACCAAGTGGCCTGGTCAATGCTCTCGCAAAGAACGCGCAGCTCCTCGTCCAAGCGCTCCGTGTAGGAGTCCCTGAAACCACTCTCTCTGAGTTTGGTTGCTTTGCATTCAAGTTCCGACCAGGAAAAATGGATGGGAACACATCCAAACATCAAGAACATCTCCACCCGTTGCGATATGTGTTGCCAGCTTGTGTGCGGCTTAGGGTGCAGTACCGGCCTACATAGGTCCGAATGACTTGATCGGCGGGCCTGCTCAGCGCGCGGCCGTACGGGGAAGCTTCCTCCAAGGTAACCCGGCTCCAAACGCACCCTACTTAAAGCCCCAGACTGAGTTTCTCTTGATTCATGAACGTGCCAGAACTCCTGGCAAGGCCACCTTTGGCATTGGGCTGCCTTTTCAAACTAGGGTACTGTACAAACCGCGCCGGGTCCGTGCTGGCAGTACTCGCTGTGGAATCCATCCGGATGGGCATACGCCGCATTTTCCTTGTTCGAACTGTGGGCACGCCACAGTTCACGAAACAGGTCAGTCCCAGCATCAACAGCAAGGCATGCGGTCCTCATGGTGGAAGCTAGGCCAAGCAAACTGAGCTCGCGACGACATGCCGCTCAAGGATGTCAACGAAGGCACTTTGTGTACCTTGACTTGTTGCTCTGCATACCCTTTATCAGTTATCTTCAGATTGTTGTTACCAAGACTTTCAGCACGGTGTGGGCCCGAGCAACAAGGTTGTCTTCAACCTGCTGCCTGCCTGTGTCTGCACGGAGTAACGAAATCTTGGCCCGCTTAGTCCTTTGCCGGCTGTACAGGGAATGCGGACAAGGATATGGGAGTTTCCGAAAATATGGGACCCTAATATAGTACCCTAAAAACTAGGATCCTTGGTATAAGGACCCCAAAATAAGCCCACATGCCCATGGTGGTCCACATGCCACCGAGCTGCATCGCCTGGTTGTCTCCGGCCAGCAAGCAACTTAGTTTCCAGGGGCTTGGCCATGTTCTAACATCTTCTCGTAACTTGGTATTGATTGAGGAATCCAAGACCAACAGCGCTGTCAGAACTATCTAATGATGCCCCTTTGCCACTGACAAGTGCCTGGATGCAAAAAAGAAACAGCTGGTCGCGTGAGCTGTACAAAGCACTCTATTGCAGAATCCGGAGCACCAGTTCAAGCTTGCAGCGGAGTGAGCAACATGCCGCGGTCAGGCTGCTTCTGTGCAGCAAAGGGGCCGTTGGCGTTCCGGTCGGAACGCATACGGAATGAGGGCTGTAAAGAGGCACCTCGAAACAACAATTTGGAACCACTGGGAAAACGATACACACTCCATGCGCTGTTCGACCTCATGCCACATCTATGTTGATGTCTTCGTACAACTCCATGGCCGATTGCCAGCTCAATTTCTGGCAGCGTGCACATATTCATCAACGCATCCAGCAAACGCCAAGGCACCGAAACATGTCCGCTGGAACGGGAAGTATAGAGCGCCTTGTGAATTTCGGGTCGCAGCTTGAGCAGCACCAACCACTCACAAGGAAACGCGAAGACTGAAACCTGACACATGTAAGCGGTCCGAGCCCTGAAGTTTGCAGCTTTGATGCTGGGCTCAAGGATCTCGGTGAGCGCGATGACGCGGCAGTGTGCGATCTGACCTTGATGGCTCCACAGCTCCAAAGGCTTTTAGCTCGGATTCCGATGCTGACACAAAACAGAAGCATAAACATAGATGTGTAAGATCCCGGCGTGTGGAATCTGCAAGGGAGGAGTGATTCTCGCCGCAAACGAAATCGCCATGGTGGATGTTACTGCAACTTGCAACTTCCGTTCGAAAGGATATCTCAAGTCCAGCTTGTCATGGCTAGTGGTTGCTTAGCCAGTCCTGCGAGCCCACAGCAACTTGATCTGATGAAATTCTGGGCGTCCGCTCACACACATTAACAGCAACGAGGCATAACAAGAGACAAGCAACCACCCACGGGACTAACAACAGTGACATGCTCCCCACCAACATGAGCACGTGTGCATGCCTATACACACGCACACACAGCAGAAACAGAAAACTTTCCAGAACAAGCACCTCTGAGCATCTTAGCAACATGCATTTCTGCGGACTGGTAATGCTTTGCATCGAATGTTGATCGCACATGCTTGTATCTGTTCGTTCTGCTGCCTCTTGCACCAGAAGCTAAAAGATGAGGCCTCAACAGACTCCTGGACAACTTTCCCAGTGCCTTGTAGACCTTCTGCTTCATGCTACAGTACTGGTCGAAGCGCTGTTGGAAAGTTTTCCGGGGCAACAAATTTGCAAAGCCGTGGGCCGTGGCCAAGCTAACTAAGTGCCAAGCACGGGAACAAGGAAAAAACAGGTTCACCAAGAGCCGTTCCTCTTTAAATGCACTGTGCCAAACATCTCGATCCCTTCCCACGCCCGGCTTGAAACGAATAGGAGATGGCAAATATGGACAGGGCCTGCTTCTGATCACCTTGTGATCAGAGCTTGCTGGCTGGAGCAGTGTTTCGGAGCAACATCCTCAGCGGAGAAAACGCGGTTCGCAGCTGACCCCCCTCCCCCCACTCTCCCCCCCCGTATGGACTTGCATACATCAGCACAGTTTTCTTAAATTCAGGAGTCTGTTATACAAGCATACAGAAAATGGCGACACATGTGCCGCCTCAAAAATCCCATCTGGTTAGCTGGTCGTCAAGACGTCCTTTCCGGGCTCCCCGCGCAGAACAAGTCTTGTCATCGCCGCCCATGTTGACGCAAAGGCCGAGATTGGGCTGCGACCTCATCCTCGGCTGGAGAGCTAAGCCCCTCCGTGCACATAGCTACTTTGCCCGGATTCCTGAACGCAACCACATGCTGCGGAATCGCAGGATGTCACATTTTGTCACATTCCGTGGAGTCTAGTTCGTCCTTACACTACTCGCCTACATCCATCAACTCTAACGGAATGGTGCAAATCAATATCATCGAAGAACTCTGAGCCTGCCCTCTTTAGGCGTCCGTGCGCCCTGCAGCTGAGCAGCTGGTAATCCCCGCACAAACCTTTCATCTGTCTGTAGATCTCCAGGACCTGCCTGCAAGTTGCGAAAGCTTTGTGTAGGTGTTTGCCGCGGTTGCGAGTCGGCTCGGGGTTTGCAGTTAGGTTTATCGACGCCGTGGCTGGCATGAGGGAAGTATCTTCAGCAAAATCCGAAAGCTTCAGCACTCCGACAAATAACACCACGTGCATTTTAACATCCGGCATCGCCCAAAGCTTCCCAGCCCTCATCCCTGAGCTTTTGCCGAGTCTCTTGACTCCGGTTGCACCCACGGGGTGGCCAAAGGAGATCAGGCCACCACCTGAGCATCAGGGTACAGGGTTCATCCAACCGCTTAGCTGGAATTGGGGCCCCGGGGTGTGAAGGGGGCATGTCGTTGTTCTAGCAACATGCACTCTTGGCTTTGAGATGAGACCGTTGAACAGAAACGCGTCGAACCCAACCCAGCCGAACATGAAACATCATGAGTCGAATAAGACAGATCTGAGCGAACCCAAAACCCTAAACCACTAAACTACAGCGACTACTTCAGCGTCTCCTTGGAGATGCCACTCTAATCGAACACTGCTTCAGCGCACGAAGAAAGCAAGCATGCCTTTTCAGCCGTGAGGCGCAAATCAGGATACAGCTCAAGGGGCCCGCTTGACAGGTCGTAGCGACGGACCGGCATAGGTACGATCAAGCCAACAGCATGCTGCAATGCGAGTGCTAGCGTTAATTTCTCACTGGTAAAATTTTCTTTTGGCTTGAAAGTGCCTATCCCTTACTTCTTAAGGGTCGCCGTGGGATCTTGCAGCCATAAGTGAAAAGAGGCTTGCAAGTCATGGCTTATCTTTGTCAAGCCGTCGGCCCACATCAGATCCGTAGGGATCCAATGAAAACGGTTGCCGGAGACAACCTCTTGGATTGCTCTGACATTCACGAGTGAGCGCTTGTCGCTCAGGTTGGGGCTGTCCGAAACTACACAGTCGTAAAGGCTCTTAGCGTCAGTTGCAGACAGCTGAAGAAAACGCTGGCCCACCTTGTGCGCCGGCACGTTGTAAAGGAGCTCGCCCAGGAAGAGGGAGACGTAGACGGCCCGGTCGCAGCCCTCATCGGCTGCCGAAGCCTCTGCCGCCAAAGTTGAGCGGCACACCCTTGTGGACCGGCTGGATCTCCAGTCGACGATCATAGCTGGGGTCGTCTTCTCCAGGACCGTCGGTGCGCAGAGCACCACCAGTACCCCGCACTGGGATCTGCACTTCTCGGCGTTTGCCCAACTGGCATCGGTGTACACGAGGATGGCAGTGGATCGGTCCAGAGGGACGTCGGCGATGATGAAGCCGTCGTCTCGGGTCTCCTTGGCGAAGTCCAGGGCCTCGAAGAGCGTCTTCAGGTCGCCCACAGTGGTCTCTGCCCCGTGGTTGCTGAGGCTGTTGACTGCGGCAAGCTCGGGACGGGTCTGGCCGGAGAGCCACTGCAGTAACCCTGCTACACTCCTGAACTCGGCCTTCTGGTCGGCAGTGAGGAAGGAAGTGAGGTCAGCACCCTTCGGAACACGGCCGGCATTCATGCTGTCGAGGAAGTCCCGCTGGCACACATGGAGGTAAATCCTCCCAGCGGCGTTCTCCTTCAGCGTCAGTTGCTTGCCCTTGAAGGTGAGGGCTTCATTGAGTTTAAAGTCTTGGAGGGCTCCCCACTTGAACGCCTTGTGCACCTCGGTTACGTCGTAGTCCTCGCGGTAGGTTCCCAAGAAGTCGTCCACGTAGACGATAATCAGGGAAATGAGGTGACCGTCGGGGCCGAACTTCATGAAGACCATCTTGTCGAAGGAGTGTTGTCGGTATCCCAGAGAAACCAATCTGGCAATCACCGTCAAAGACCAGAGTCGGGGAGCGTTGCTCAAGCCGTAGATGTTGGTACACACCAAGTACAGTGGTGCCTTCCAGCAGCTGGTCAAGGAGGTGATGCCGTCGTTGGGCGGAAGGAGGTAGAGCGGCTGTTCCCGCTCGTCGTTCTGGATGTCGCCCTGAAGGAAGGCCGTTGAGGCGTCGCCCGTCCAACCAAACCACTTTTTGCCGCTCTGGGCAAACTCTCGGTTGCTTCCCGAAGTAAGGACGCAGAAGAGGACGTGCTCCGAGGTCCGGTTGGGCGTCGCGCACTCGCGGTTTATTCGATATATGTCTGGGTCCTTGTGGCCCAAAGCCACTACCCTGCATTTCGGGATCAAATCTCCGATCCCCCGGCTCTTGTCTCGGAAACAGCTCCGGGTTCTGAGCACCCTCCGCGCGAGGATCTTGTCCTGAAGCACCTTGCGGGCCTGCTCGTGGCTCAAAGGTTTGACCGAGCCCCAGTCCTGCCAGCTTTTGGCTTCTTTCTCCGTGGCCGCTTTGAAGGCTTCCACCGTCTTCTGGTCCATCTCGAGGATCTTCCTCCATGGGATTTCTCGGTCGAGTGCTTTAGCCTCGGCTCGAGTGAGGTCCTTGGCCGGATCATTGGGCCGGGCCTCGTCATTCCAGTCGGTATCGGAGGAGTCCGACTCGTTGGCAGGCTTGTTCGGGCTGCCTTTCAAGTCGTCCTTGCGGTGGTTTGAAGCTAAGTAAGTCTGGTAGTAGAGGTCGGTTTGCGGTCCAAAGCTTTGCTCCAAAGTGTCGCCGGGCTCGCAGTGCTGAAGGTAGCCGTCCTCAAAGAAGAGAGTGGAAAGGGTCTCGAAGGGGCGCTTGGCCGGTAGTAGTGGATCAGGTCCGCCGCTGGGTGCCTCGCTCGTCACCGGCGTCGTCGAGGGCCTCGAAGATGAAGCTGCTGAGGCAGTGGCTGCGTGAACCTGTCCTGGTTGCTGTGGTCCCGTAGGCCTGTCAACTGTGACCGTCGTTGGCATCACGGGTGTCTCTGGCTCTTCCATGTGCTGGTCGCTGTTGGAGTCCTCAAAGGGAGCCGAAGAGTAAGCTGCTGATTCTAGACCCACCTCCAATGGTGTCTGTGGGACCGGCACAGGAGGTTCCAGAAGTTCGCTCGGAAGCGGTTGTAGTTCTTGATGTTCCAAGTTGCTATCTAGGCTGGGCAGCTGCACAGGAGGTTCCGGAAGTTCGCTTGGAAGCGGTTGTAGTTCTTGAGGTTCCGGCCTGTTCGCAGGCTGAGCTGCCAATGCCGAAGGTTTCGGCGATCTGCTTCTGATTGCCCTTGGTGTTCTCGGTGCAGACCTTGCTCTCGGAGTCCTCGGTGTAGACATTCCCCGCCGGCTTCCTTGCGCGGGGTCCCCCAGCCGCGCCGTGTTATGCACGACAGTGTTCTGAACCTGCGGCTGGTACACCAGTGTGCTCTGGACTTGTGTGTTCACCACCGGCTGGGCACCCGGAGGAGGAGCGGCCGAAGAAGAAGCAACTGCCGCCGCTACCTCGGGCAATGAGATGTCGTACCCGAGTTCTGGGTCCATCTCCACGTCGTCCTGCTCCAGTGATCGCTTTGGCGGTGGCGGTCCGGTTTCATCTGACCACAAGCTGTCGTCCAAGGTCCGGGCCGCGTCCTTTAAAGCTTTCACCTCGGCCTCGTCAGGGATCCATGCTTCGTACCCGGTGGCGGCACGCAGTTGCTCAATGGCAACCAAAGCTATCGTTGTGCCCGACCTCACCCAGGCCAACTTCCCAGGTGCCGAAGGGTCCCAGGAGAGGAACTTTGCCGAGAGCCATCCTCCTCTTTTCTTGACCCCCTTCTTTCGCCATCTCCAAAAGGAGGTGCCGGGTCTTTCGCAAAAGTGCTCGCCGAAGGGACTGCTTCACGTTGAGGTCGGCGATCGTCTTGATCGCCTCAGCCCGGACGATCTCGGCGGTTGCGGCTGCATCAGTGGTCGGCGTGGTGGCCAAAGCGTTTGAGTCTGAGAACAGGCCGCCCGGAAGACGAGGGGTCCTGCCGAACACCGCTTGATAAGCTGACCTCCCTCTTGTCAGGATAAGGGAATTGGCTGCATGGAGGGCCGGCGCGATCAAGAGCTCAATGTCCTTCACGTTGGTCGCGGCAAAGGTGTCCACGAGCTTCTCGAGGATCGTCCTGAGGAAGGCGTTCTGGCGCTCCACATGGGCAATCTTATAGTGGGCGTCAGCCGGGCAGAAGTCGATGAGGACGCCGTGGGAGCGCAATCGCTCCTCGAAGGTGCCCTGAAAGGTCCCGTCCGGGTCGGCGCCAAGCTGAACCATGAGGCCAAAAGGTCGCAGCCACATCGTCTCGAGGGCGCGGTAGGCCTCCTCAGGGTTCCTGGTTTCCAGAACGGCGGCTTGGTGGAACCGCGTCGCCACGTCGACGGCTCCTAAGACCATGCAGCTCTTGCCGGTGAGGTCGCGGAGGTAGAAGATGTCGATCTCAACTCGGTCGCCGAACTGGCTGGCCGTAATGGTTGTTGATGCCGGCGGTGGTGGCTGTGGTCCTTTAAGTCGGGCGCAAGTGGCGCAGTTGAGCCGCCGAATAGTCTGAAGAAACATCTCACTTGGGTTACCGGTTTGCACAGCTAGTCTGAGCATCTCTTGTGGTGATGCGTGTCCGAGGTTTATGTGGGCTTTTGCGATTGCCCTCCTTACCTCGAGCGGCACCTGCTGGCTGAGGTTCGGGAAGCTGATGTCGGTGGGGAGGTCGGTGATCGGCGTCTCGGCCGGCACGTTTGGTGACGTCTCGGTCTCCTCGATCAGGTCGCCGTAGGCCAGGAGGGCGTGTCGCACCGGTTTTGCAAACCTTTGTTTGGGGCGCTGGACCAGCGCCAAGTTCTCGACCTCCACCGCCCGTGTGTCGTCGGAGTGGATCAGGAAGGCGGCCCGCGCGGTGTAGGGAACATTTTGAGGTAGTCGCCGCTGTGTGGGCCGCTGGACGCATTGTATCCTCACCGCCGTCATCCTCAGCAGGTTTTGCACTTCCTTGCCGACCTCGCTGCCGGGGTCTATGTAGAAGGGCCGGCTGCCCTCGGAACCAAAGGATCTCGACATCATCTCGGCAATGGTGTCCCACGCCGTGAGGTCTCGCACTGGCTCCCGGTAGGTGACCAGGGCCTGGTAGATGCCAAAGCGCATCGGCTCCTTAGTCGCGACATAGTCCCGAATCAGCTCCACGATGCCGTTGTGCAGGTTCTCCTGGGTCGCCGGGCCGCGGTCGAGCAAGAAGGAGCTGCCGCCCGGGATGGTGGTCTGCACGGCGGCGGCGTCGCAGGAGTCGGCCAGGATATAGGTCCGGCCTTGCTGGGCTTGTTCCTCGATCAAGTGCTGCACGTAGGGTCCTTTGTTGCCGCCGGGGAAGAAGTCGAGGCAGGAGACGTAGAGGACGTGTGGCCGAAGCCGTCGTAGTGCTCGTAGTGCTTCTCCAAGTATGTCAGGATCGTCACGAAGACGCCGGGCAACGTGTAGGGGCAGCGCCGTCGAGGTCATTCGGTGCGAAGCCAGGCCTTCATGAAGCCAGTCGCTGCCAGGGAACACGCACAGCACATCAATGGAAGGCGGTCGTCGGTTGACCGTCGCGGGCAGAACATCATAGATCTCCCGCTCGTTCTCCAGCAACCGGGCTGATCGAGCCCAGCCTCCCTTGAGCCTTTTCAGGGTTCCCCGGTCCAGTCGTAATTCTCCGACTCGTCCCCGGCTGCTACCAGCCGCCACGGGTCCAGCTCCATCTCGGATGCGCTGCTGGCTGCCGGCTGCTGCCTTCGGGAGCGGCGTTTCGAACTCGATCGCTTGGGCGTAGCCGAACTCAGGGACGCCCGGGCTGAAGGCTCGAACTGCTTGCTGCTCTGGCTGGAACCCGCCGGTGCAATATTGGACGAGGAGGGCAATGGCGGTCGCGAGGTTAGCAGCGAGGTTCCGGACTTTGCGTCGGGGTGGCCTTCCCACATCCCCAGGTGGTCGCTCCATCTCAGTCTCATGTGGCACCTCTTGCACCTGGCGAACTTGCCGTACGCGTTGCCGTACCGGACATAGTCGGGGTGCTGGCAGCTGGCAGGTGCCCTGTGGAGCTGCAAAGCGCACGTCCAAGATCGGCGGCACGGCCTGGTAGATCTCGGGGTCCAAGATGCCGAGGTTCACCGCGCAGCCCATGCTCGTGAAGAGGTGTCGCCGCAGGTCCATGATCTTCTTCACCACGCTGCGCCAGCCGCGAAGCCATGACGGAGGCGGTTGGGCCGGCTGCACCACAGGACGCATAGGGCCGGTCGGCGGTCCGAGCCCCGTCTACAAGTTCTCCTCGAGCCGCAAGCTCCGGAGGAGGATCGCACCAATCAATGCTGGACTGCATGGTGTGCCACTCGGGGCAATCAGCAAACTCATCGATGCGAACTGCAATGTGGCCGTTCTCAGCATCGGAACTGTGACCCCCAGACTGACAAAGCTAACCTGGCTGCTGGGCATATCAAGGATCATGCCTAGGCTTTCCAGCAACTTGTTGGAGGCAAGAAGGGGAATTTTGGCATCCAGCACGCCAGCTCCGAAGATCAGGCTTGCACCGCCAATGCCAGCCGGAACATAAGAGCGGCTTTTGGCCACCAAGGGCGGGCCGCTGCCGAACTGAAAAGCATCGGTTACATCCACATGGTGTGTCTGCAACCCGTGGGGTGTAAGATCTAGGCTGTGCTGGGCTTCCCATCCGATTCCACAACATGTTCTCTGGCACGCCGTGTCTAAAATCATCATCTTGCCGAAGCGGTCCGTCCCGGTCGGGGCGTCGTGCACCTCGAAGACCACGTTGACAGAGAAGGCGGTGCCGTACTCGGGCTGGTCGTTGGCCTGGGTGGCTTCAAAGGAACCGCAGTCACGCACGAAAAAGGTCTGGTGGGCCGGTTTCTGGCCCTTGCCGTCGCCCTTCGGTGCCCCGGTTGCCCCCGCCTTCGAAGTAGCCCCTCTCGCCCCGGTCGTCGCCGGCGCGCTCGGAGAAGACCTCGGAGCGACACTTTGCCCCGCCATTGGGCACTCTGGGTCGCCCTTCCAGTGGCCGCGCTCTCCGCAGATGGCGCAATTGGTCTCCTTCTTGAGGGTGGCCGGGTCCTTCTTGGGCTGGCCGGTGTATTTTCGCCCCAGCTTAAGCCCTGCCAGCTTCTTCGCCGTAACGGTCAAGACCTCGGCCACCTCTGCCAGGTCGTCGGCGTCTTGGGTCTCGCCGTCCTCCTCGCCGGCCTCGTTGTCGTTGTCCTGGTCGTCCTGGTTCTCGTCGGCGTCCGGCTCGGCTGGCTGCTCCTCGTTCTCGGGGATCTGGTCGAGGGGCTCCTCCGTGATGTAGACCCGCTGCGGCGGCGGTCCTTTCCCGGTGTGTCCGCCTTTCCCACTGTGGTTGGGAGTCGTGGCGCCCTTCCCTTTCGGACCGGGCGTCCTTGTCAGCGGCGTGCCGTCCTTGGTGACCACAGGTGGCGCGGCGCGGAACTCGGGATACTGCATCGTCATGCTCTCGGTGATGGCCTCGAACTCCAGGTTGTAGCCGGCCCCGACCATGATCAAGCGCTGGTCGGCTGCCGATAGCCTGGCTCGCTCCAGAAGACGGTTCCCTCGAGACTCGCTATCGTACATGCCACATATGCTCACGCCGAGGGCCTCGAGGCTCCGTTCGATCCTCCGGTAGCGGTTCGAGAAGGATCTCAGACCTTCCCCGGGATACCGGGAGATCTTCTCGTAGTCGGCCAGGAACTTCCTTTTCTGGTAGACCGACTTTTGCTCCATGGGCTTCCGCAGGCAGTCGAGAATGTACTTGATGCCGTCGGGGTGGTTGATCTTCTCGAGCGGCACATGCTCCATCTCGGCCTCCGCCTCGCCAGTGAGGGAGGTGTACAGCAGGAGCGCCGCCTCCTTGGAAGTCATGTAGTGGGCCACCTGCACCTGCCATATCTCGACCTTACGCGACCATTTCGCAAAAGCCCGGAGGTCGTGGGACTCGTATTTCCACTGGGGCGGCTGTGGTGGAGCGCCCCCTCTGAACTTCACACCTTTCTCGGGTCCCATTCTGGAGTTCCAAGAGCTTTCCGACTTGGTTCTGCTTTTGGCCGGGGAGGCTGAAGCTGCCTTCTCCGGCTCCGGGTCATAGGCGGGATGTTCTTGCGCAGGATCGGGTAGCGTATGGGCTCGTCGTGGTTCAGGTAGGTCTGGGCGCAGAGGGGCTCCCGCACCTTGGGGTAGAAGAGGATCGTGTCGACGTGCTCGCCTTGAAGTCGCCGAGGTTCCTGGGGACACTGTGGGGTCCACGGTCAGGGTCTCAGACTCAGGCTGCTCCGAAGGGCCGTCGTCGCCGTCATCTCCTCCAGGTGGTCCGGCTCCAGCTCGTCGTCTCCGCCGCCTGCGGCGGCCGCCCAGCAAACTCCCTGGAGTAGCAGCTGGCGGGCTGCTCGGCGAGGGCGCGCCTGGAGGCAAAGCAGGAGGTAAGCCAGGAGGAGCAAACCCAACAGGAACGTAGTGCCACTGGCCTCGCCCATGGGCCGCTTCTCGGTAAGTCGGCTGGTCCATCCTGTAGTACTCCAGGCTTCCGCACCGTACACAGCACCATCTCCAAAGGCCGTCCCGGTAGAGCTCGTGCCCGTCACAGCCGGCACATCTCCACACTTGGTCCGCCTCGGAGGCTGCACCTTGAGGTCCTTGGATCGCGCCGCCGCTCTCGTTGTCCTCCAGGTCAGGGAGGTCGCTCTCCTCCTCGTCGGCGTCATCGTTCTCCGCAAGGTTGAACATGGCCGGTATGGAGGGCATCACGAGTCGCCGCGGCAAACCAAAGCTCCGGTGCCAACTAATCGAACACTGCTTCAGCGCACGAAGAAAGCAAGCATGCCTTTTCAGCCGTGAGGCGCAAATCAGGATACAGCTCAAGGGGCCCGCTTGACAGGTCGTAGCGACGGACCGGCATAGGTACGATCAAGCCAACAGCATGCTGCAATGCGAGTGCTAGCGTTAATTTCTCAGCCACATCCACCCAAGGTGAAGCCACAATATATGCCACGTTCTGGTGTAGATGTGAAAATTTGGAGGCAAAAAAAGACGCGAGCTAGGGTTTGCTAGAATCGAGCTTTTGCTGGTGCATGTAACACCATGTTTAAACTTTAAAGGGCCTCAAACACCCCAAATCCTTGTCCAGTGCCCGGCCTGTGTTCACTGGGATCTTGCCCTCCAAGGACGTGGCGCCAGATTTCACCAACTCAGTGCCTGCTAACTGCATGTTCGCTTCCGAGACTATGAGTCCTTTGCTACGGGTGGTGCAGGGGCTGTGCAGCAACAGTCGACCGCAGTTGTCACAACCCGTGCAAAGGTTACTCCCCAAGTCCTAAAAACAAAACTCTCTCCTGATCAACAGCCTTACACAAGGGAGTGCATTGAACAACTGTGCAGGGCAAGGGTTCGCTGAAATCATCTTTGGAATCTCTTCAGTGCTTTGACCCAAAGCAAACCTCTTGCGGAACCTTCCTAAGCCTGAATCCTGCATCGGGCTTTGCCTTGCCCTTCTTCAAGTTTCCTCAAGAAGAAGTGGCTGTCTTGAACTTGTAGTGAGCTGTGGTGCAGTAGCTTTGATGACGGACCTTTGCATTCTTCTGCTACGAGTAGCTGATAGACTTTTAGAATTGCTGTCACCATCTTCAAATCTAAGATTCATGCAGCAATGTCTGACATCAATTCTCCTCTCTTCCCGGCCTTTTCCAGGCGCCGCCAACCCGATCGCCTCGTACATGAGGATCTCAGCGATGGCCTGGCGGCTACGAGGGAAATACGACGTGACATCCCGAAACCAGGCGATCCTCAGTGTGCACCTGGAGTCCCAGTGAGCCGCCATTTCGGAAGTAAAACAAATCTTTCAACATGAAGCGAACCTCAAGATCCCAAGTTAATTGAACACGTTTCGAAGATTTTCAACCGAAAACCCTCTTGGCCGGGCCGTTCCCCAATGCATCCCTCATGACATCTGGGACAAACCATCAATAAGGCCGGAGGGTCGAAGCAGTCATGGACTTCTGCTACATCCAAGTCCGAAGGCTTCACGCCGGCGCTCGCCAGCATCCGTGACACCACCTGTGAGGGTTCGGGTTATAAGTAGTGCAGCTACGCTTGGCTGAGCCTAACCCTTCGCCTGGAGGGGATCCCGGCCTTCAATTATCTGGGAATTGGGTAGAATTCGAACGCCAGCTTCGGCGGGCAAAAGTTGCGACACTCTTAACTGATCTTCGGAAATTATGTGCATGGCATGGCATCTGCAAGGCTGCATTTTGCTTGAGGCTTGGTGATCTGGGAAGGAAAAGAACCCGAATAAACGAAATGCTGTTACTGGACAAGCGAAAGAAGCCAGGCCAAGTGGCAGCTTTCGTGGTGTCCATCACGGCTAAATCCTCCGGGTCGGACCACAAATCTCCTCCCACGGCGCTTTTCCACTCCGGATTGGGGGAGTTCAGGGGCAAACAACATTCTGATGATGCAAACGGAATGGCTGGTTGTACGGCACATATGCCGTAGTCTGTGGAACTGCCAACATGCACACGCCTAATAACTAGGGTAGTCATCTATCGACGAGATGCGGCTTTCATGCAAGCATCGCATGGTTAATGTTGTGCAATTGATGCGCAACGCCCCTCGGGAAAGGTCCCACGAAAAGGCAACCAGCGCCTGCACCATAGTCTGTCGCAACAATCTCCACCGCCTGATGCTTGCTGAGGCCACACTTCTGGAGACCCTGGCGAGGGCTTCCGAAGTTGACTGCTTGGGGAGCTTTACTTTCCGGCGAAACAAAATGAGCGCACCTACATTACATTCAGATGGTATTTGCACCGAACAATAACAGAACTACGCGCGATACAACATGATACAACAACAAAATGTCTGGCACGAAACATTCCATTGCCGTGTTTGTCTTTCCTCCCGCCGTTCCAGGCTGCCAAACCCATCACATGCAAGAAACGCTTGCGTGTGTCTGGGCAAAACACCCGACCCTCCATCCAGGCCTCCTCGGACACGAAAATGGCTGCAGCACCTCATCCGGTTGCTGCCCCCTCAACCCGACGTGAGCTGCTCACAGGGTGATACTGCAAACAACCTTTAGAGATACCGTCAACGCTCAAGTGTCGAACAGGCCGTTGGGCAATGCATGGTCACCGCTGCCAAATGTATCCAGGCACCGCCGTCTGAGACTTGCGAACAATGCGTCGCTCGCACAAACGGCCTTGGCAAATCCCGCTACAAAACAATCATTTACCAGTCTATCTTGAGCTTTGACAAGCAAACCATAAATCAAACAAATTATCAACGTCAAAACAAGATCAAAACTGTTGATAATTGCCGGCAAAGTTGCTTGAGCTCTTCATTCTTGAGGAACTCAGGGCCGGCCACGGCTTTCTCTAAAGGGAGCTGAACCTGCAGCTTCTGCCACCACGATTTTTGGCCCGCCCTGCCCCCCCCCCCCCCGCCCCACAACCCCAGCGGAGTACACCAGCTCCCATCGGGATGGTATGCATCCAGCCATTCTATCACTCCTCGTAATTAGTCTGACAAACCACACAACAGCCAGCAGCCTCGGATCTTTGCTTGACCGAGGAGCTGTGTGCATGTGCGCCAACGGATTCTTGTTTCCTCAGAGGGTAGCATTGAGTCAATTGCGCAGTGGCACTGCTGTTCCAAATTTGCATTGCGACCAGAACACCCCTCCGCCATACTACAGTATGCTTCCACTATGACACAGTTCGGTGTCAAGAGTTCCTCCACAGCTCATGGGACAGGCAAGTTACTCATGTCTGCTACTTTCACCCATCCCGGACAGGACCTGAATGCAACTCTTTCACTCGCGTCCTCAGGCCTCTGAGGTACAGTGATGTTTTAGCAAGCCGGCAAGGCGGCTGCAGGAACTATGTGCAAGTTCCTGGTCCACTCTCTCACGATGGACCATTGAAGTTAGCGTCCGTTGGAGTAGGCCTTCACGCCCACTGTGGCTAGGTCGGCCATCTTGACTTCCTGAGTTTTGGTAGTTGTCTTGGTTTTGCATACAAGCGAGAAATCTATGCCAGGTGGCTTGCTATGTTTTGCAGTGATAAAATACGAAAACCTTCGGTCTCAGGGAAAAACTCTTTCCACCCTCTCAGGCAGGCGGCAGGATATTTCTCCAAATAAGCTTTGGCCCGTCTGGCGAAAAGCGCAGGGAAGGTGAAGTCGTCTATACCTTCGGAGCAGCAACTATTGCCCAAGCCTCCGAAATCCACGTCGGATCTTCAGTCTCGCACGACACGAAGCCAGGTGAGGCAAGGCTTGCTCAAGGTAGTACTAGTATTAGTCTTAGTATCAATATTCGTATCAGTATGAGTACTAGTATTACTACAAGTAGTAGCTCGAACGGTTGTTGAAACCTTCGGCCCTGATCTCATCGACCAAGGACTCCTGAATCGAATTATCCAAGGCTGGTTGCAAACAGCTCGGTCTTCTAGAGAAGCAAGGGGAGACACCGAAGAACCTATAACAGCCCGCACCTATAGTTGCCGTCGCATCGCGGTCGCAGTAGTAGTGTACAATTCTTTACAAGAGTCGCCGTGTTGGCAGCACAACCTGGAAGTTTGAAAGTATCCTACTTTTTTTTGCGAAGCCCGCATACTCGAAACACGTTCAACCATGGTCTACCCGGCTACCCGAAGCCTGAACCTCTGATCCGGTAGGCCCCTATGCTTAATCTCAATCTCTTAGTCGAGACGGCAGGATGTCCCGCATCTTGCGGCTGCAAGGGGCCCGATTGACGCTTGAAGTCGGCGGCCCGAGCCAAATAAGTACCACCGGTCCGGGAATCTGCCTGCTTCGGCGTAGGGTTTCGCGTGTGCACTCAGGACTTCGAGCTTTTAGGCCAAAACAACGTCTGGCAAGACAAAGGGAAAACTCTCATGTCGGGCTGTGCCAATGCGAGACTGCAGCTTATCAAGCGCGGGCCTCCCGCCGTATTTGCTGTAGCTTCAAGTTTGCGCACCCTTCTGGTCTTCAAAATGCAAGTGCAGGTCTGGAAGCTAGTCTCAAGAGCGTGTCAGTCTCTATGTAGTCCCGCAGGCAGGGTCATGTTTATCTGGATTTCACAGCCTCTGTCTGCACCTCTACACCCACGGCCAGGACGATGTCATCCCCTGCGCAGACCGCGCCTGGGTATGCTCACTTGCACGCTCGGGCTTCGAATCCTCAAGATCATCTGGTACACAAATATGAAGATTCGAAACTGTCTTCCGAGAGGAGGTGGCATTGGATGGTGATTTCTGCAAACTGACGACCGTCTCGACTGGGTGCGGCCCCAAAACGCCAGAACCCATGGGTAAAGCCGAAATCTCAAACCACTGGGAAGTACAAACTCGCATGCTGCCAGCGGCACGTACAGCTTCGGCACAAGCTAAGCCTGAAAATCACCGTAGAGGGTCAACGTGAACTCTTTCTGAGTTATGCGGCATCATCAATACTACCACGCAAAACAACAGGCGTCCTTCTTGAGAGATTGCAAGCTCAGCACAGAGTAGTGCGTCTAGAGGCATCTGTATGCAATAGTCATGAGCCAGCCCCTTCTTGTCAGCGTATCTGTGCCCTGGGACGCACTCTGGCTTACCGTGTGCCAGCTTGTCGTCTGCATGCTGCGTCTCTGAAGTTCGAACACCAACCTTACGTCATTCGGCACACTGCATCCTTGTGAAACCGCCCGGCCTCCAGAGGCACAAGCAGCCTGCCAAAGCAAAGGTTAATACGCCATAGAATGCTATAACATACTAGAGTATACGATAAGTATACGAAGATGTAGTCTCTCATGCCAAGCTTTGCCCGAGCAAGGACGTCGGGTCTTGGAGCCAGTTTCTGCCACTCAAGTTGCAGTTGGTTCTGCGTTTGCCAAGGAGACGGATGGGTTGGAGCCCTTAGGCGCGTTTGAGGTTGAGCTTCGTTGCTGTCGTCGCGACGGACTTGCAACATGGGCCATGTGTTGAATCTTTTCCGTTCACAGCCAGCGTGTCAGCCCGGGCCTGCCTAGGCCGGAAACTAACTAACTGCAAATGAGCAAGGTCGTCCGAATGCCGCGAGTTTGCACCTCTTGACCCAAGCCAGTTGGCTTATCAACCCACAACAAGCACATCATATCATGATCTTCAGGCGCCAAGCGCTCCAAGACATTGCCTCTCGGAAAGACCACCATCAATAATTACATATTTGTTGCTGTGGTCATGCGGCGGCCGTCGTGATCATCCTTTGGTTCCTATTGCTTCTCCTCTTCCTTTGCAAAACGAAATAGAAGTGGCTGAGAGATCTGGTAAACGGCTATCGTAGCAACCAAAGGTCAGTCGTTGCAGTCGCTCAGTCAAACGACATCACCGCAATGTAAGTAAGCTTGATGACAGCATCACCTGACATTCTTCTCATGATGCTTCTTCTGGTTCTCTTTCGCCTCAGCATCACTATAACCATCCTCTGTGCTTGCTTTGCTCTGCTTCCCCAAGCAGAGGGCCTCTACTCGCATGGAGGGCCGATGCAGCAGTGCCGGGTGTGCAGCCGCAACAGCGGCGCCCAGGTGGCCCTGGCTGTTGAAGAGCTCACCTGTCAGAGTCTTGTTTTGGGGCCCATTATAATTATAACAAGGAGCCCCCAAAATAGTAGAGGTAATTGTTTCAGCCCTCTTCCGGGCTTAGCACATGCTGCATTAGGTGACCAGTTGTGCTTCGAGTTGCATGCCATTAAGCTTCCCATGGCGCGCGTGCATAGGCGCTGAGACCCGAAGCAGTGCCTGGCCTGCAAAATTTCCAACCTTAGCTTGGTCTGGCAGTGTTGTGTGCATGTTGTGTGGTTCGAGCAAGCGGCGACCTTTGTCGACAGGTCAGCATGCATTGGAGGCTTCAAGCTTGAAGCCCAAACTCCCAGAGCGACGATGCTACCAGCCTTTTTTTGAGCGTATTAGGCTAAGGGCAAAGACCGCAGCCCATTCCTATGTCAAAGAGGCGGTAAGCTTCGAAAGCCGCGAGATCTCGACGTTTTTTGAGGCTCAGGCATAAATTCGGTCGATCGCTTCGGGCTTGGCACCAGTTTCCCGGAATGCGCCCTGGATGGACTCAGCAAAATACCTTGGATGGGGGCTCCCATCGAACAGGGCAAGCGGCGTCGGTTCGATGGCTGATCCCTCGACCGCTGCCCAAACAAACCGAAAGCTGCAGTCGCGGCTTCGGGAGTTGTGCGCTTGGTGATGGGTGGTTCTTGTAGCTCTCCAGCCTGGTGTGTTGCGCTGACTCGAGTAAAGCCAAGGTGCTCTTTGAGGCCTTTGAGGCCTTTCTGGAAACTCGGGCTTCCTGCAATGAGAGGGGTCCCACCGCAGCGAGCCCTCACTAGAACCTTCGGGCTTTACCATCCCGGGTACGAGTCTTGCCCTGAAACCAGCAGTATGTACTCAGGCATTGGAGCTGGATGAACTGAGCGCACATGTGCGGGCGGGTGCCTTTTCCCACGAAGGGTGTCACATGACCACCAGCCAAGTACCTGTGATGATGGAGACTTCAATCAACTACGAGGCGTAAGGGCAGCATCGGCCGTGCAACGAACCACCAACTCTGATTCGAGCTCATGTAACACTTCCGGGGCATCAGACAAGCTTGGGCAAGCTGGGTAAAACCAAAGACACGAACACAAACACATGCCCTCCCGCATTATGGGCTTGGCAGGCCTTGCCCGAAAGCCTACACCGAGCAAAGCATCCGGGGCACACTTTCCGGAGCATTGCTGCAAGCCTGCGATCTAGGAAGCTAACAATGATATGCAAATGTGTTTGAAGGGGTGCTGGGTGATGAGCAGGGCCGCCTGATGTTCTAATGTATCCGCAGTTCCTGGTTCAACTAAAGATGGCGTGCAGCAAGCAGGTCATCCATGATCAATCAGGGACAAGGGTGGGACATTATCTGAAAGCTTCGATGGCGTCTCCCATCGTCGCGAGTGCAGACAAGCGACCCGCTTGTGAGGAGGGGTTGAAATCCGCTGCAGCAAAGCGGCTGGTGTCTTGAGCACAGGACAAGGAGCCGCTTAATGACTCAACGCTTCTCGCACAGTTGGGAACAGGGCGGCAAAGACCAACTGACTGAATCGAGCGGTTCCGACTTCAGAGATCTCCTGCTGTGCCTGGACCGAGGAACGTTTCTTTTCAGGAGTGCCACGCATCTTTACAAATTCAGTCGAGTGCGAGAAGCACATGGAAGGAATTCTCTCCCCGAGACAACCAACTTTGGACATTAAACCCTCAAGCTGCAAACAAAGGGCTGAGCTACTGAATGTTCAACGAGATGCATGATGCCGCTGCTGGCATGCCAACGGGGACGAACTAGTAACTACGGTGAAACAGGCAAGGCTCAAATACGCCATTACAGCAGCTCAAGTAATATTCTCGCAGCTTAAGCCGGCATGAAGGGAAGAAGGTCAGGGGAACCACAAACAGAAACCTGGTCCTTGCTACTGTCACACCTGATATGCATTTGCAAGTGCGGCAAGAAGGCCTTAACCTGCTATCCTGCGGCCTAACCTCCTTTCGTAATTGCAGAAGCAACAAGCCGTAGCCCCCTCTGCAGAGAACCGTCGGGCTACTCTGCTGTTCTTGAAGTTAGCGACTGGGTTGAGCCATGCCTTTTGTGGCGCGATCTGCTTCGATGCTGCCCAGGTATACACAAGGCCTAAATCCCCCAGCCCGATTAGGAAGACCTACTTGCATGCTGGAAGTCTTACTTACAAACTTTGCATGCAAACAACGGCGCGCTTTGGGAATTTAGGTGCGTGGTCGCCGCGGCTTTCGGCCAGGTGAGCTGTTTTACTTAGCAAAGCGATGCTGTGCATCTTGGCAGGTTGTCCAGGATGATGATTGTGACCAAAGCCGCAGACTGCACTGCAAGGACGGGTTGGCTTGGCCAAGCTCAATTAAAATAGTGTGGCTTGAGTTGGCAGGCAAACTGCAGCTTACCCTCATTTGCATGCTTTGGGGCCGTGGCCTTCCAGATGTCAGGTGTTTCTCCAAAAATATTGCTCATACCAACTCGCAGAGTGGCACAGACGATGACTGGTAGATTGCTAGGCAGGCCCCAAATAGGAATCAATACGATAGGCTTCTTGAGTCGGCTTGTACCCTCGTCTTACATGCGTGCTCTCGTGGTCTGAGCTGCGCATATCTAGCTTCCATCGTCGTCTGCCCTCTGCCTAGGCAGGTCATGCGTGAATTGATCATGCCTTGCACTGACAGCAATAGCATCGCACTGAGCACGCGAACGGTTGCCCTCTGTGATCCAATCCAAGACCGGACTATATAGGTCCAGTTCGCTTTCTGCAAATCTTTGCGCTTACCGTAGCTCAGGATCCAAACTTATGTCCGCTCGTCTGGAGATTCGAGGGGGCACGGTCTGCAGTGCTAGCAGCAGCGCAACACACTACTGTGCTGAAGGCCAAGCTACAAAAGCCAGCTCACCAGTAAAGGAACGGCCGGCCAAACCTGCCTGAAACCAAACGAATCACCTCAAGTTCATTGAGGCCAAGTCCCATACTAGTTGCAAGCGTTGAAATCATATAACATGGCATCGGAAAGATGATCCGCGCTAGCGCCGGAAGTTTTTCTCAGTGCTGCTCCGTTCAATGGGTTTTTCCCTCAAGATCCGAACCTCAAGCTGACATCACCACTACCGTGACTAGCTTTTAATAGCACATCTTTCCGAGATCCGGAGGTCTCCGGACCAAAAAAGGCCACGAATTCGACAGTCCAGCAGGCATCTACGCAAAGCCAGGGATACTGCGGCTTGCAGTGAGATGAGCCAGAAAATCCCTCATGCCCGTTCAGGCCTGCCGCAGCATCCCTGCGATGCACTTCACCAGCCGTAAGTTGGCTCGCTCTCTGCGGCCCTCAGCATGGCAGAGTCTAGCACGGCCTGCGCCTTCTCGGCTTTAGTCCTTGCCCTGGTTGCCCTCCAGTAGTGATACAGGCCGCCCTAATCCTCCGAACCCACTTCAACAGATCTCGACCGCGGATTCTCAACTTGACCAAGCCTTAGCTCGCGGCCCAAAGCTTCGGTTCATTGCTGCTCGCCGGATCTTCTGTCGTCGCTTCTTCTCCTCAGGTTTCGCGCTTTGTGTGGAGGGCGTGTGTGGCTGTGGCGCTAACGGCACAATCAGCGCCTCACCACCGCTACACTACGGCCGCCCCCGCGCGACCAGCAAAGGAAGAATTGCCAAGGTTGTCTCTATGAGGATTGAGATTTGTCTTTTTGAGGATTGAGATTTTCGAAAAATTATTGCAGCATATTGCAGCTGTTTCCCAGAGATTGCATGGTTACTAGCTGTTTGGCCCTGCCACTGTTGCACGGCCGTGTCGGAACAACACAACCTTGCGGCTCTAGATTGTGTCTCCGCTGCTAAGAGGAGTAGCATCAGTCCCAGAATGTCCCACCTTTCAGAACCTCCAATGGCCAATACTCCTTGCACATCACCCTACCTAGCGGCGAACCAGCCAGGCTATATGAGTAGTTGTCAAAATTATAGTACCTTTGGGGTACCCTAAATCATAGGTGCCGCATTATAATAAGGACCCAAAAAGTGACCCCAATTTTGACAACTACCCATATGAAAACCTGCACTTCCTTGACATCAACCCCGACTCCAGGAACAACAGTGGCAGCAGCAAGGACGACGACAACGAAGATCGAAGTAACAAACACCGCAAGACAAAGCAGCAGTAATAAATGACGAATCAGAAAGCAGTAACCACAATCACAACAACTACTATCACAGGATCCCAATATTAACTCACGGTGGTAGTCAGCCTTGTGACTTTAACAACTACAGAAGATGGCAAACAGCAGCAGAAGCAGCCTTGGTGACTGTTATCCGATTGGTTGTGGTTTGCTGCACATACAAACCGCTTTTGCCTGCATTTACGAACTGTCATGAACTCGCGATGATGTCTTTTTCCCAACTGCGGTTTGCTATACTGACTGGTCCTTGAATGATCCAACATTCAAGTGCTGAGATTTGTGTTGGGATGTGTTGGGGGGCTATGTATATTCAAAGCCATCGACAAATGACTTCGGAAGCCCGTTCAATCCGTGCCGTACATCTACATTCCGGGAACGCCACTTGGAGCCAGTGGCCCCACCATCTGAGCCATTTGTGACAAAGCCTCGAAAATCAAGACCCGCGTTTGCAACCAAGCTTCCCCTGGAGGGCAAATGTGGCAGAAGGCGCAACTGCTTCCACTCCGGCCTGAATGATAGGCTCTCACTCGGCACCGTCAAGCTGTCAACAACCGACTGGACATGAAGCTGGCGGCTGACATCAGGCTTTGATAATCCAGAACTGCTAGGCCGTGCCAGGCAACCCTGATTGTGCGTGCCAGGAGGCATCCTTTGGTGTGGAAGAACGCGCAGGGCTTGCAGTCTTCATGGTGCGCAGCTTGAACTCCAGTCTTCTCAAGCAGGTAGTTGGAGAGGTCAAGGCGCAAGCAAGGTTCCTCACGCGGCGGAGGAGTTGCAAAGGCCTCCTGTGACGTGATCTCCGGCGCAGGGGCTGAAGGTGGCGGTGGAACGGTCCGCCACAGCCGTGGTTGTGTGTTGGGGGGTGGTGGGGTTCTCGGCAGCTCGGCAACCTGTGGCCGATAAGCCGGTGGGCTGAGGAAGAAAGGCTCAAGACAGGGGCGAGCTTCGGCTTCTGAGAGGACTGGGGAGCCCAGGTGCTCCAGGCCAGGGGGTGGGCTGATGCGACTGGGATTCAAAGGCCGAGTGGCGAGCATGTCGTCGCCTGCTACACTGACCAAAGACTCTGAAGAGCCGGGCGAACTCTCATCCGGGTAGCTGTTGCGCGCCACGGGCACAGTATGCGGATACCTCGGGGGCGGGAGGTGAGGCTGAAGATTGGCAGAATTGAGCGCATCTCTGATTCCATCTCTGTCGTCTTCACATCTTTGTCAGCAAACCCTCCGCACCTTCTTGATCCTGCAGGCCCATTTAGCATCACGAACAACACCACGGACCCGGATGAACAGGCTCAGCTTCAACTTCCTAAAACACAGGATGTCGCAGCCAAGTCACTGCGCGAAGAATGCCGTTGGAATAGGTGGAGAGCTGCTACCTGCCCTGAACATCATCGCAGGGACGCCACTAAGGCCTCAGACCCAGTCTACCTAGAAAAATCCACCAGGACCAGTCGTGATCCAGTTGATTTCCAATCAGAAATGAAGCTACAGGTCCCAGAGCAGCCTCAATCTCCGACTTTGGGGAAATCCTTTTAGCTTAATGACCCGGTGTCAAGTCCGGGCTGGAACGGACACTGAGTCCCTGAAGACCAGAGACAAAGCTTTCGTCGATCTTGAAAGCAGGTCAGGTTTTGAGTCACTAGAAGCACGTTAGCCACACTTTCAAGGCGTTGAGAGCTTCGAAGCACATCATTGGCTCTGTGACAGGGTTGGAAAACAGCTTCAGTACATACCGACAGTGCCTTTTCTACTGCTTATCTGTGTTTTATCTGTTTTTGCTACTCGCTATGGCTTCGAGATCTTTGAGTTCTGGGCACACTGTGTAACTTGTAAGCATCTCGCCTCGCCTGCAATCCGCAAGGGTTTTCACAGGTTGTCTGGTGTAGGATTTCGCTGCATACCGGGCAGTGCTTCGCTGAACTCTAACTAGTGCGCGAGCTTACGCGTGTGCCAATACATTTACGACAGGAAACTCACGCTTTGGGTGTCGCAGTGGGACGCTCCAGGTGTCGTAGCGTCGATAGTTCTCCGCATGATGTGATACACGCCATGCTTTGGTCTGGGCTCCTAGGATGCTCATAGGTAAAGGCCATCAGGTCGTGCCGAGGCTTCAAACCTGGCTTCATGTCAGCAATAATGACAGCGACTGACAAAATCATGGCCAACATGGCCTCGAGCGGCACCAGTAACTCGTCCTAGAAGTAAAGGCAAAGGAACTTTGCTTGAGGTTGGAACCGACCCACCACATGCCAACAACAGCAACAGAAAAAGTGGCACGGGCTGAACTTCATGCATCCATCGGGAACATGGAAGAGTCATAGAACAACATGATAGCTATCACAGTGCTGTGACACTACTAAACCGTCATATAGGGGCCGTAATAATTAGAATAGGGTTTTGGGGCCCAGTATACTATACTTAGAATAAGGAACCCCCCAAAACAGTATAGGTAGTTCTTGAGGCCCCTATATGGGAGTTTCCGAAAATAGGGGACCCTAATATGGTACCCTAAAAATAGTAGGATCCCTATTATAAGGACCCCAAAATAAGGTATCCCTATTTTCGGAGACTCCCATATGTAACATGATAGTCTTATTATAAGGAAAATACCATAGTTCCCATAGTTTAGAGTCCTTAGGGTCATGCAGGATTTCGTCCATCAACAGTATTACACCCTAAACCCAAGCACCATCAGCTCGCCCGATTTTGAGGCCTGGTCGAGGCCGGGCTCGCGGAGAAACCCTTGCTTCCCAGGCCTTCGGATGAAGCGACGCAAGGTGTAAGGGTTTTTTACAAAAACCTATAGGAAACCTATGTTTTTTCAAGAAACCTATGTAAGGTGTATAGCAGAGCCCATAAAATTGGAAACCGGATTCAGGCCAAATAGTGCTGGGATTCTCCATACATTACCCTTAAGGGTTGAGGCTACAGGGCTTCCAACTTTTGGCCTTCTACTGTAAAGTGTAAATGGTCGAACCATGCTTGAAAGACTCGGATAGGGTTTGGCGCGAAGGCTTCAAGCTCCGGGATTGAGGCCTGTATAAAGGAAGATGAGGCGCGTGAACTCCGGAGATGTGTCAGGGATTTGCTCCGAAACGAAGTGGGGCAGCCAAGGCACGCATTGTCGGAGCGGCCGTGAACATCATCTCTGCTTGGCAAGGCTCTACAAGGACTCTACAGGATACAGAGACTGATGTCTGGCTGGTGCTTCAGTGAGACGAAGCGGCGGACGAACACCATCATGCTAAATGCTCCTAGTCGAGGTGGACGTGCAAACAGAAGGTTTGGACACTATTGTGCAATGAAGCTTTGCTTTTTCCTGACGCGGTCAACGGCTCTTGAAACCAACGCGAAACATCCTATTCAGAGTGTGGTTCGTGCCTCTTCTTTGGGCGACATGACCAACGAGAGCACAGCCCGGCGGCAAATACTCCGTGCTTCAGCAGGTTGCGAAGAATCCTATGAATGCAAATGGTGCAGAATCATCGCTTTCCGAAACGATGGTCTTTCAAGCCGCCGCCGGCCTGTGTGATAATCTTGCTGCTGGTTGCCTCCCCTCCATGCTGATAGTCTGATCTGGCCGAAAGCCGGTCCGACTGTGGACAGCGGCTGCGTTTGCTACTGTGTGCATGGTCAGCAACACACTCTACTAATACTAAGGCGGAGAGGTGGGGCAACTTCATGCCGCATCTGTGCAGCTGATGCTAAAGCAGCATACAACTGATCCCAACTGCATTAAGCTAGCATGATGATTACCCACGACTGTAGTGAATCTGAAACACCCGAGGCCAGCTGTTGGGATCTGGGATTGGTGCCTCGGCTTCATTCCGCTGTACGCTTTCAAAGTGGCTGGCAAGCTTGCTGGCGAGCACTGCGGCATTTCCATGGTCCACTGTCTACTTGCAGTTTCAGCGATCAGGGTTGATGGTTGCCGATGCTCGTAAAGGGGGCAAAGTCCGAGCGAGGTAATTAGGAGGAGGAGTTGCTGTCTCTAGGCATGCGCACAGGTTGTGATCCCATTTTGAACCCTCCAGTATTAGGTATGTAAGGCTATTGCGCCAGCACTACCAAGCTGCTTCCGCACAGCACCTGCCAGCAACAACCCAGGGCGACCGACACCATCCTCTCGCACATGCGCTTGTAGGAGGAAGGTCCTACAACATCATGCTATTCTGCAAGATTTGCTCCAAAACGCAGTGTGGATGACAGACAAACGTTACCACCGCTATGGTTGTGAAGATTGTTGCTATAGTACCATGCTAGTACCGATCTTGCCTGTGAAATACGACTGGCCGTTCTGTGCCTTAGACTGAGGGTTCGCGAGGGCTCACCTTTCCTTTGGACTTACATGAAGCATTCCTCCACGATGCCTTGCAGAAGGTGGGGATTGCTATTGCGCGTTCATGGGCTAGCGGGGATTTGAGGCCTTGAATGGCTTCAGGGTTTTCCGGTCGTGTGCTGCTTTTGCGGTCTGAGGAAGCGTGACTGCTTCGGAGGTCGTCATCTAAGCCTCATCTCTTTTAGGGGATGGCAGTTCGACTTTACAAACCTGTCTCATGCTAGCTCGAACCCTGCATTCTCTGGCCCAGCACAATGCGAGAGGCCTGTCGGTGGCTGATGCCCTCGATGGTTTCACCGTGGTCGGGGGTGTAGGTACTGGATTGCTTCAACTGCACTCTTCCAGAAGAGGGTGATAAAACGCACGAGCATTCTCCTGTACCCAAGCCCTCATAACAGTCCTCTAAGCCTACGCGGCGCGCCACTCCTGATTTTAGCCTCCACATCCAACTGAACGCTTCAAAATGGGCGTAAGTCCTAAGGCTCGTCTAGCCCCGTGAATCATGATGAATCAGGAGTGGTTTGCCAGTGGATATGGGCGAAAGCCGCCCATGCGCCTGAAGGAGCGATACTGAACATCAACCGTTCCTGGAGCAACCATATGGATATCTTGTGCAGTCAGTGCAGGGGCTGCAGCCTCAATGGTCGGATGTTTACTAGCTTTGGCAACTCCATCAGGCTGCTCTCCTAGTGTCTGACCAGATCATTGGGTCTCATCTCACTCTCATCGCCCGTATGCGGTTTTAGCCTGGGTCTCGTCAGACTCAAAGACTCACCTGGCAATATGCCTCTGGTCCTATTACTACGTATTCTTACCATTACTCCAGCCGAACATGCAAGTTCCGTGTTGAGACCTTTGAATGGGTCAACCTTTCGAGCCAAGGCACTCGGGCAACTGCCTGCTTCTCCTTCTGTCGACGCTTCTTCTCCCCGGGAAGGCAAAGGTGGCAAAATGTGCAATTCACCCCGCATTGACAACCCTTGGTGTGATGGAAAGCACAAGGCTTGCATAGGCCTGTGCCATGGGAAGCAGAGCCCAAAGAAGGGAGATCTCTGCTCTCTGTGGCTGGTGTCCACATGTGCGAGGGCTGGTGCGGAACTGCCATGTAGGGAGCGCACGCGTATGGTGCGCTCCCCTGCATGTGCAGCATGGGTTCAGGGGGCACGAACTCTGGTATTGGAAGCGCCTGATCCTGACGCGCATCCGGTGCAACTGGCATCACAGGCTCTGGCATGGGGGGTTCTGTATGCGTCCACATGCCTGGGAGTGGGAAGCTGAGGTTGGGCTGGCTGGGTGGGGCAGCGGCACCGAGAGTAAGTGCACTTTGCAACGGTCGCGCTGCACTTCCCGGGGCATGCGACTGCCGCGGCGACAAGAAGTCGTCGAAGGTTTGAGCGACTGGGGGAAAATCGAGAGGGAGCGTCAGCTCCGGACAAATGGGTTCCACTGGATCTAGAGTGGACTTGGCCGGGAAAGGCCTGTCGTCACACAGCTGGCTGACCCAAGCGGCCTCTGCCTCAAACCTCGGTTGCTCTCGGAACCACTTAAATTCCGGACACAGTATGTTCCAACCACTAGGCCCTTAACCACAAAGAGGTTTCTTCAACCCCCTTGTCCCCAATGCTCCGTGCCAAGAAGCAGGCAGGGAGCTTCCGCCCCCAGGGGGACTTGGGCTCGGGTCGCTTCGGTGCCGGCACCGGCTCCTGGTCCTGGGAAGCTTTGCCTCGGTTTGAAGAAACGCCAAGAAGATTGCAACAAAGGCCTTGGGTAAGCAGCCGTTGCACACAATCCAGTAGCACTCGGACTCTCAATGCCGAGAATGTTCACCAAGACTTGTTGATGCTGCCACTCGGCAACACGAACCGACCCTCTTTGCTGCAGTGATAAGGCTAGTAGTACGGCGGCGGCCGCCGTGCTGACAACTGCATGCCGCTCGCTTCCACTAGCAGGAAGAAAATGATTCCCGGTTTTTGCCATGGTGGTATTCGAGAATAACATCTGCCCAGCAGCTGTGAGCTTCCGACAGAAGTGCTCGGAGAGCGTCCGGTGTCCTTCAAAAATCTGGTTGACAAAGCGAGGTTCCGTGGTGGAAATGCAAGTGAAGAGTTTTTTGCTACTTGATGGTAGTCGCGCTTCCGATTCAGTGTAAGGGGGCCGATTTGTAGCAGTTGGAACTGGGGTAACTTTTGAGCGCTTGCGCCTTATCAGGCCGAGCCGAAGCACTCCGCGAAATTCGGATCGCCTTGTGGGCGATACTGTTTCTAGGCCAGTAGAACGGTTTCTGGAATTCGTGTCATTGTGCCGATAGCGCGCAAATCCTGCACATCCAGTAGTTAGGTAGTGTCTGGTGGTAGTACCAGTACTGAGTACTTGAGTAAAAGAAGCATGCAAGCCTGTCAACCATAGTCTTTTTTATCCCAGAACAGAAAGGTGCACTCACCCTTGCACAATCTTGCACATGAACTTACAAAGTAAGACGCGCCCTGCGAAATTGAATGCCCGAACCTTCAGTAAACGCTGACTCCATATTGGCCCCAACCAGACCTTCAACCAAAACCACTAAGATCCTTTCAGCGAAAGGAAGCGAAATCCCTGAACTTAGCCCGAACCAATCCTAGATTCTAAACACTCATCCAAGGCCCCCCAAGCCCACAAGCCGAACCAAACATTTCAACGAAAGCACGTTCATAGTCATAACCGTATCGTATAGGAAACTCAATAACTTAACAACCCTCAAGCAAAAATTCCACAGTTCGTACGCAGCGCCGAAACGCTGCTTCGCACGCTTTCCGGTAGCGTCTTGCAGTCGTCTATCGGACCCTTGTCCAAATTTCGCGCCGCTTTCCCGAAAAGCAAGCGTCATTCTCGTGTGCTCTGGTCATTCTCCAAAATTTGCGCCGCTTTTTCAGAAAGACCCTTGTCGTCTTCTGATCGGATCCTGTTCCAATCTTCGTGCAGCTTTCCCGAAAAGCGTCTCACTGTCGTCTCATTGGATTCGCGCCTTGTTCTCGTTTGACCGGCTCATTCTGCAAGGGGTCATGTCGTCTGATCAGGTCATGTCCTGAGTTTTTGTTTCACTTTCGCGGGAACGCATCCTGCTGGATCATACGCGGTCGCATACAATGCATGATACATGTTGCTTGTGGTTTCGACGTGCACCTTTCTTTACAAGTATGTAGGGGCTCCGTTGTAGATAGCAAGGTCGAAGACAGATCAGTCCTGAGCTTCACTTGGTGGGTCGCCCTCCTCTGGGAACTTCTCGAGCGGAAGCTGCAAGGAGGCCATCCCGGGGACAGACTCGCGTCCTACCCGCCCCAGAATCTATCCAGGAGCCCAAAAGAGCCGCAGGACGAATACTTTTAGGGGCCTGAATAATTAGAATATGGTTTTGGGGCCCATTATACTATAATTGTAATAAGGAACCACCAAAATGGTATCGGTAATTATATAATCGGACTTCCATGCTCGGGAAAAGCTACAAGTAGTGGCCTGACCAGCCAAGCTCCTGTCTCAGCGCGCAGTCGGTCTGGCGATTTTTGCTCTCGTCTGTTCGTGAAGCAATGGGTGGAGGGCATGACCCGAAAACAAGCCTGGACATTGGAGAGAGAAGAGCATGAAGCCGTTAAGCTTCAGGCTTCGCAGTGCGCTTAGCTTCTTGGGGATGGTTGCTCCTTTCTACCCATGTCCTGACATGCAGTGTCCGGGATCCGAGCTACGAATCGATGATCGCCGGGCTGCTCCACTTGTGCAGGTGGCCCCACAGCATAGCAAGCCGTACGACACATGCCCTCAGCCACTTACACCTGTTCATGTCGGCTTAGGATCCTCTTAAAAGTGGTCTCTCATAAGTTCTTACTCACATGTCGGAGATGGCCCGGCGATGGCAATCTAAGGCAGGCAGAAGTCCCAGACGGACTCGCAAGGAAGCCTCAAGGTTGTATAAGAGAGGGACCTTAATGCTTATTTTAGAATGGGGTTTTGGTGTATATTGTACCATAAACCTACAAAATTCCTCAGAGCCTTTTAGTTGTGGGTTCTTCTCAACCCCGAACCCTCAAAAACACCTGAATTCCAAAGGATGATGCTCGCGCTGGCTGTACGGGGTCTTCTTCCTTGCTCAACCGCTTAAAACACATGTATCATCACTAAAACGTGCAAAGCAATCCATAGGCGGCCCAACAGCTTTTACCAGCAGCGTGCTTCCGGCTTGCCTAGTCTCAACATTTTTCTTGCTTCGGCCGCTACGTCGCAGTCATGTGTTGTTGTTGTTGTTGGTGGTGGTGGTAGCTGTTGCTTTCAAACTCAATTTAATACTTCTCTGGAACCGGCGGGGTTTCCAGCTGCGATCCCTGAAAGTATAATCCGAAGGCTGGGGATCCGGGTGGGGATCTCGCTCATAGAACCCAAATGGCGACGTGTGGCTTCCTGGCTTCAGTGCGTTTTCTAAGGCCGCGGAGGGAGAGTTTGCTCGCAGATTTCACGGGCACATGAGCCGGCGCGCATTCCACTTGAGATGTCTGTTCAAGCAAACTCGACCTCCCGGCTGATGCTAGGACAAGGCTCTCAGTGGCGCATGGCCCAGCACAAAATCTGGAAGCGAGAACTTCATGTACATCCTCTCAAGCTTGGATTATTACCATACTTCGCTTAGCTTTGCTTTGCTCTCGCTTGAGTTCATCTTGCACGGCTTTGTCGACTTAATCCTGCCTCCCCTCTTCCAGCACCTAGCTACCCCGTCCTCACGATCCCTGTTGATGGTGGAACTACGGAAGGTCTCTAGAAACTGAGTGTGTAGTCGTAACAGGTCACAGGTCCACACAGTCTCCTTGTTCATATCACTCAAACCGAAACCATGACCGCAGGGGGCCCTCGCCAGGCTTACGGGGTATGGATTCGTTGTTCTTCGCTTCCCTCTGATCTGATGGTAGGCGACGCAAGCTTCTCGGAAACGGGGTCTGCACAAGAGCCAGTAATGAACTCACGCTGAACTAGCAATCAAGGAGCTTCAGACACCTCCTAAACTCCGACCCAGTTTGCCTTTTACATCTCAGCGGCAGGTACGCAGCTCCCGGGAAGCTTCAGTTCGGGAAGATCGCCCAGCAGTTGTTGGTACACAAGCAAAGAGAAAGGGCAGTGAGTTTGCTTTGATGAATGCTGAGGGCCAACGAAAGACACATCATTGCTAGGACGACGATGCCTGTCACAGCTCTTCTTTGAATGCCCTGTGAATCGAAATCCAGACCCTGCTATACGAGCGTAGGACTATCTGGCAGCGATGTTCGCAAGAACTGCGGGCCGAGCCCCCACATGCAGCAGGGCGGGAGCACGTCTAGCCGAAACCATGTGGCTTTCGCAAGTGCCATGTCCAGCGGTTGCAAGCAGAAAGGAGTTTTGCAAAGACTTCCAGAGTGGTTGACGAATGGGATCGGCTGCACAGGCTTTTATTGCGGGTAGCAAGTGGACCACGCAGTCAAGCAGAGTTCGCCATCACTCCTCTATAAGTCACCATGTCGTCGTTTACATCGCGCGAACCCGAGAACCACGTCATTGCTGTCGGAAACTAGAGTAACTACAGGCTGGAAGGAGGCTGGCGCAAGCGATGCAGCCCACATGGCTTTAAATCTCAGCCTGCACGTGCCCATATGGCAAGTTGGCTCGTGCTTGGTAGGTTCGCGGATCCTGCGGCTCGCTATGATTCAGTCAACGTTTCAAAAGTAGGAGCGGGAATGATTCTTTCATGCACACCATAGCTAACCTGGGATCTTATCGCATTACCCGCCTTGTGGTTCGGCTTTCAAGAAAAGGACGTCACATACAAAACCTCTCGCCGCAGCGATGAGCACCCTGTTCACTGACTTCTAAAGATACCCGAAGCCTCAAACCGGCATGGTCCCCATGCCGATTCGGTTTCCGCAGGGACCCGCTACCTTGACGAGCAAGAAGGCATGCTATTCAAAGGGAGTGGACGTGCACTCAAAATGACAGCCTACAGCAACGACGTTAAACAAGCTGTCTTTGAATACGTTCATTGTTAATCGTGTAAGCTTTGCATAACATCTCCAACCGGTCAACCCGATCTGCATGGCAGACCCATTCATTCGGAAGAGGTGCGTTGTTATGGATTGGCTCTGTAACATGCCAAGCATGGACATCGCAGCTGGTCTTCTTCGGAAGCATTTCTCAGTTTGGGCGACAAGTCTTTGCATGCAGCAGTCGTTGTTATGACTCTGATTCGAAGGGCATCCATGCTCTTCCAAACTACCTGCAATGTTGTCATGACGGCTAGCTGCAAACAAAACCATCTACCCACTTCACCCAACCACTCACATGCGGATGCACACGCGGTCTGCCTGTGTACCTCCTAGGACTGTAAGGGAACAGTGCAGTCGAAGACAGTGTGCAAAGGCCACGCTCATCACAATCCATATGACGAAAGGGAGGCGGGCACCTTTCAGCTTTCTACTGATAAGGTGTCAGCCAGCCGCAGCCACGCTGGACGCAACTCAGCCGCAAGCAGGCACTCATCGGTTTCCAGCCCAACTACTTAGCGATGTCGTGTGATACAGTCAATGAGGATCTGAGGCCTCCTGCTTTGCGCAGTTTCGCCGGGTCCTGGCCCTTGTCAGCCCACATCCATACTGTACAGCGCAAGCACCGATTTGTCATTCCATCCTTCCCAAAAGATCACAAGCTCCTGTAATTTGAAGAGCTACCAAAGAAGGAAGGCCTTACACGGCGGAATGGCAGAATGGCTTCTCAGTAAGAGAGTGCACATAGAGTCATGGGCGGCCTAAGTGATGCTTAGGCTTTGAGGGCTTCTTCAAACAGTTGCGCAGGGAGCAGAGTCTCTGGCAAAGGACTCTGCTCGCCTTGCTCGGCACCCTGCAGCGTGCCGAGCTTGGCCGCCATCTTAATGATCTTCGCTCGACGCTTCTTCTCACCCGGAGGGCAAAGGTGGCAGAAAGTACAATTCTTGCCACTCGAGCAGCCTTTCGTGTGAAAGAAGGCGCAGGGCTTGCAGGTGCCCAGTCCATGGCCTGCAGAGCCCAGGCTCACGCACATGCCCGTGAAGTCCACGTAAGCGGGCAAGCCCAGGGGTTCCCTGGGTTCCACGGAATCGGCCGGCGGGGGATCCATGGTTTTTGCTTGCTCGAATTGGAGCGATCCTGGAAGGACTGGTGGTGCGACCGGAGGGGGCGGTACCACTGCCTGCATCTTGGGGATGACAAACGGCAGCGCCTCGTCCTCCAACCCTGGGAGAAACTCCACTATGCTCGCCGGACAGGAGTTGGTAAGTCGCCCCTCGTCCAACATCTCCAACCCTGGAGGAGCCCCGATTCGACTGGTTGGGCAAGAGCTGGAGGAGGCTGTGCCTGCCTGTGTGTTCGGTGTGGGGATGAAAGCGGGTTCACCGAAGTCGAGCTGCAACGTCGAGGGGTACTCGATGTCTGGCAATCCCGGCACACCTCACAAGCACAGCCGAGTCTGAGAGAGCGGCTGCACTTCTCACATCTTCTCACTACCCTCACGGCCTTGAGGCAGCTTGGCCACCGTGCCGGGCGGAAGATCCTGCTATAGGACTTTGCGATTTGGTGCACGAGATGATGGATCTCGGGCATAGTTGCCGCTGCTTCATCGCGATTTCAATATCAAAGGCTGCTTGGCCGGGAGGGTCGTGCAACACAGCATTCTGGTTGGCGGGGAGTTCGGAGCTTCAGTAGTAAGTCACAGCAGATGCGGTCATTTTGTATCACTGCGAGCTGGCCCCCGAGCTTAAGAGTACACAGGGCCTGAACATCGGGAGTTCCACCTGCGCTTCTACATCCAAGTTCAAGCTCTCGAGACAGACTGTTCCAATCGCCATCACTTCAGAATACGTCAGTGTGCAAGACCCCTGCTGTTCTAGGACACCTGCGAGGTTTCGTCTCCGTTACACAGCCAACGTGGGAACCTCCAATGTCCATCAACCTCCGGATTCTGAGATTTGTAAACAACCCGAAAACTCCACGGAGGCGCACCATGTAGTTGCGAGAGACGTCGAGGAGGGAAGGGTACTGGTTCTTATCAGGCCTCAGCAGAGTCTCGCGAAAATTCTCGCGACTTCGGAAGATGGTGTTCAGACTGCATGCACGACTGCCCTGGGTCACCGTTTCACGCCCAGGGTTCGGATGAGCTGACCAATGCTGACAGGGGATTCAGGTAGCCCGCGCGCAAATTCAGAGGGCCTACTTTCCGGTGTCTCAGCTACGGAGCCGCACGTAGCACTCGAATCTGAGTGGTGGGCG